ATATAATGATAGTAAAAAATATGCCTTAAGCACTCTCCTCCAATTTCTGTCCATTAAGCAAATTAATCTTTCAATTCATTCCCTTATGACAAACTTTACACATCAAAGGTTCAAAATAAAGTTATTTCACTTTCATATTTGAGAAAAGAAACGTTAAAACTAAATCCACATAAAATCTACATTTTCGGAAAATATACTGTGTATTGTTAATTATAAATAATTAAATAATAATTAATGACGAAATAATTATTTAGTTTCAATTGCAACAAATATCTGAATCATGCAAGAATAAAAAAAAACCCAAAGGCGATGCTTTGGATAAGAAAAATGAATAATAATTCACTTTTGACCTTTCAGTGATTGAACCATGAAGACATTACTTTAGAAAAATATCGCACAAGACAGGACACGAGTCAGTAATAAAACTTCCGAAAACAATACGAATTAAACTGATATACGAGACGTAAGTTTAACACAAAAATCTTTATAAATATAATATGTAACAGTTGGACTGACATGTTCGTAGGCTGACACATACATGGTGTTACTAGTATTAAATCCATATGATTTTTAGTTAGCCCTAACCTTCAAAAGACACGTGTATAAATTTGACAGCTGTTGCACTATTAGTATGTGAGTTATAGCATTTTTAGTGAAGCAACTTTTGTTAGTTTGAAAAAAAGGATAAAAAGGAATTTCGTGTTCTCTATTTGAAATGGATTTGATCGAAGTACATAAATTTATGAAAAAATATTTAATAAGTTAATCAAAATTAATAAAATAAGTTAATTAAAATTAATAAAATAAGTAAATTAAAATTAATTAGTTAATTTGGTGAGTTTAAAAGACAAATAGCAATCGTCATTGTTAAGCCTATAAAAAAAAAAGAGATGTAATTTTATAGGGTGATTTCAAAAACATTTTATTCATTCATCACTCATGGGTGGTGTCATTAAATATTTTGTTGACTCTAAAGGGTATAATTTCGATAAAATAATAAAAAATGTGTTACTATTATTATCTAAACAGGGGTGGCCGGCCGCCATGATAATTTTTGCGGTCCGTGTGATTTATCACACTTTTAAAAAAAAATATATTTTTTTAATAATTGCCAAAGTAATGAAAACCAAAGTGTTTAATAAATAAATTATTTGTGCATCCATATATTCAAAATTACAGCAAATATGCAAAAGAAATAAGAAAACTTACAGCTGCTTTTGAAGACCGGTTCAGTAGCATAGAGTTAAGCAAACATAACAAAATTTTTGATGCTGAAATCGAGTCGGCTCCAGAATATCCCGAATAGAACTCGTTGACATACAATGCAATATTGAATTAAAACACATTTTTGGAACACCAGATTAAAAAATAGATTTTTATAACACTCTCAATTTGAGAAATCTGGCATAAAAGATTATTAGCATTTTGGGTTCAAATTACAACTGGGAATCGTTTTTTTTTTTTTTTTTTTTTAAATGAAGTTGACTAAACACAAAACATGCTAAAACATAAACATAACGGAAGCTAACCTGCAAAACCCATTACGATGTGAAAATACCCAAATTGAGATCGATTTGCAAAAGCTAAGTGAAATAAATATCACAAAAATAAATATTTTTAATGATTACATTTTTAGTGTATATATATTTCTTTACCATGTGCATTTAGTATCATTATTATTATATTATCTATGTTTACATGTAAGAATAATAGTAAATACAAAAATAGTAACTCATTCTGTTTCAATTTTTCATTCCAAAATATGTCTACAGTGGGTCTAAATCTAATATGGGGACAGATAATTTTATAATGCGGCCCGCGGAGATCATTTGGGTTGGCCACCCCTGATCTAAACAAACAATCTGATTTATTTTTAGTGTTTTTAAACAACCTTGAATGAAATCAACAGCATTTCCTTGGGTTTTTTTCTTAGTAATCATAACAATAAAGCTGTAATATATTATTTAATTTTGCTAATCAATTGCATTCCACCATAAGTTAGTGTATTTTCAGTTATTTCCGACTATACCATTCATGAAAAGATCTAATGATAATTGCAAAAGTTATTTAGAGTGTCTGGTTTTTTTAGCCGGTTGTACAAATAAGTCATGAATGTAAATATAAAAAAAGTATTGTTAAGCGTATCAGGCTAGCAAAAATGACTAACATCTATTTATTATTGCATCATTTAAAAAGTCGCGTAGAAGCGTTAACAAATTTTATAGCAGACAACATGCAAAAAAATACGTTTTTTAACAACACTAGTCAAAAAGACTTTTCGGAAATTAGTTTAGCTGAAATACCGCTGCTAATCCGTATCAAATTATGATTAATAAAATAAAATTATAATGACGAAAATATTAAAAATTAGTATAATTTTGAAGGTTTTATAGCTATACCACAATATCTCCATTTTAATCTATTAAAAATAAGATTTCAGTCAGTAATACTGACATTATATTTTGGATGAATTTAATATAGAAAAAAAAAATATGTTAAAGATTCAAATAATTTCGTGTGATTTTAGAAATTTGAAAAATTTATTTCTGATAATCGTCTAAATATTGAAATGCCAACGGCCGTACCATGCTGAATATACCGGTTCTCGTTAGATCACCGAAGTCAAGCATCATTGGGCGCGGTCAGTACTTGGGTGGGTGACCACCTGGGAACACCGCGTGCCGTGAGCATTCACAAATTTGGGACCTGAATGGCCGAGTGTCTAGCCCTCTGGCTCTCGTGTCACAGGTTTCGGGTTCGAATCCCGGAGGGTGCAATGGTTCAGAATCCACTTTAAGCCGTAGGTCCCGGTCTCCTATGAATGTAAGAGCGTCACGGAGCCAAAGTCAGACTTCTACCTACGGGGGCTCCATCACACAACAGAAGCTGCTTCCTTCCCCTTCAATCATGAGTACGTACGGGCTCGTGGGCTTGGCCAGCCAAGTGGGATAAGAAACAACAACAAATATTGAAATAAATGAATATTTTGTATGTGATGAACATTTTTGGAGTCGATTTTTACGCATTTTAAACTAAAGAACATTTTTTACATCTCATTGATCCAACACACAATTCATTGAAAGTATATATGACTTTAGACTGCAGTACAACTTTTGTTCTGCTCAAGGGCATTAATTTTCTACAGCAATTTAAAAAATGCAAACTCTCCTCTTGACAAAATTGAACTGCTAGTCAAACGTTTTAACCTAAATAATTAATTGCTTTTGCTATTTTAATTTAATTTTCTTAGTATTTTTGCCACGTTTGCACTTCCTTTTAATGTTTTTTTTTTTTATTATATACCATTTGGACATGAGCATAGCCCATTGCCTTCTCTTTTATTCAATGATTTGTCATCCAATGTTTTAAATTAACAGATTAGGAGTTTATAAGGCCATAGCCGGCCAAGGTACTCCGTAAGAAGAACGACGACGAGAGCATTAATTAAAGTTTCATATGAAAACATTTACCCCTGTTTTTCGTAGTGGTTAAAAAAAAAACATTTTGTTCTCTCACTACAGTAATCATGTAATCTATGTAGATTCAAATTGTTTAAATTTACAAGTAGAAACTAAGTAAAGAGCTGTTTCGATGTTTATTGATAGTAAAATAAAAATACATCTTTTGAAAATGAAAAATTATTTTTTTTAAATAAATATTATTCATGTTAAAGATGCTCATCATTTCTTAACATTATTTTTTAAAGCTTTGGGTTGTTCCATATGAAAGCGGCCTGATGGCTAACACTCTGTCTGTAGGTACCACAGACTACAAGTTCGAATCCTGGCGGTGGCGTGGATTTGGTGAACGGTTCAGAATCCATATTAAACTGTAGGCCCCGGTCTAATTAAACTAAAGTGTGTGCAAAATGACCGTAGAGTGGCAAACATACCATATGAAATGAACTTTTTATTGTTAGCTGACGTTCTATAAAATGTATATCTACAGTATTAAGTTTAATAAGAAAGTTATATATCATTTTATTGATTGTTTTGTGTTCTTCATAACTTATTTTGTTTACATAAAAGTTTCGACAGTTTTAAGAAAAGCTACATTAAATAGATTCATGGAACCTCCACAAAATGAGGATGGTATTTCTGTAGGAATATAAATT